CCCTGCTCAGGCTCTTAAACTACACCCACCTCCTCACATGGCTTCCCTGCACAGCATCAGGAAGAGGGGCATGGTAGGGAAAGTAAAAGTTCTAAAGAATGAGGAAATAATGTCCCCCCCATGGTAACTCTAGTTTCTATAGAAGTCTAAAATGTAATAAATTGGCTCTTCTGTGGTGCTCCTGACAAGCTCTGAATTCCAGAAGCCAAAAAGACAACCCTAGGACCAAGACTGAGATGGGCCTCGCCCAGTCATCTATGTAAAGACCTGCCTCCGAGGACCCTGAGGGCGACTCCTCCTATCTCCTAGCCAGACCTGCCTCTGAGAATCCTGAAGGCGACTCCTATCTCCTAGCCAGACCTGCCTCTGAGGACCCTGAAGGCGACTCCTATCTCCTAACCAGACCTGCCTCTGAGGACCCTGCAGCAGACACGGCATCCTAGTCTTAACTCTCGCACAAACTTACATCTGCCTCAGGGTTCCTAGGTATCAGATGCTGCATTGTTCACCTTCAGTAACACACATTATTCGGCTCACAAATGAAAGCCAAGGAGCCTGTAGTAACAAATTTATCCAGTCACTTCCAATCACTGTTGAACGCCTTGTCACAGGTTCTCCTTCTCTCTCAGAAAGACTCTGCCCTCTGCCCCGTTATGGTTCATCTGAAAGGAGTCAAAGTCTCCATTTGTTGCCGTTTATCCTCCTCTTGAGTAGCACACAGAGAGAAGAAACAAAGTTACCTTCTTGACCTAACAGCTCTAACAAAGGGACCTGTCCAGGATGGGAACTTGTTTCATTTGTCTGGGGTTTCTGTTGCCACAGGGGCTCACATGAACCACAGGTTACACCCGAACTCTCCTCTCCGTGTTCTGAGGATGACCCTCCTGCTTCCACCTCACTGGCCCTCGGGTGACCGGCACCTGCTTTGCCTCAAGCTCTACTCACTGTAGAAACCCAACTGTTAAAACCAGGAAGAAGGGCTCTTCAGGGCGAGCAGAAGCCTAACTTTCAAAGCGGAAGTAGGTTTTCTTTAGCAATGGAATGGCACAGACCCCTCCAATAAGGCAAGCGGGGCGGATGTGCTTGGTCAGTCTCCGTCAGGGATACCGGAAGACTGGCTAAGAAAACGGAGAGCGGAGAAGAGGCCTGTCCAGGTGTGGGCGTGACACAGACGTGCAATATGACACAGATTGGCTAGGTCTGTGATTTCCTGTAGTGAAACTAAAATTTTGACTCGACTAAAATTTTCTTGTCCAGCTTCAAGAACTAAGAGCAGACTAGGCCTTTTAAATTTGCTTTATTTATTATTGGTGGTGACAGTGATTGAGAACACGAGTGTGCGTGTACGTGTGTGTGTGTGTGTGTGTGTGTGTGTGTATCAGCACCTGTGTGACGGTCAGAGGAGAGCCTGAGGGAGTTAGTCCTCTTTAGGCTCCGGGGACTGAACCTGGCTTGGCAGACTTCCATAGCTGCTCTTTGCCAGCCAAGCCACCTTGCCAGCCCCGGCTGGATCTTCCGGTGGAGGGCACAGGTATCTTTGCTGCCAGCACCACACATGGCCACGGCCAAGGCCTGCTGCACACATGCTAGAGAACTCAGCTGTCCTTTAGGGAGGGGTGTAGGTGGGCCTTGCTCATTCCCAATGTGATGGACTAATCTGACGGGCTGAATTAAGGAAGACAGAGCAATGCAGATAAGTCTGCAAGTCCATTTTCTCCCTGTTATCTTCGGGGTACACATGAGAAAAATCAATTCCTAATGAACCGGGGGCGGTGGCGCAGGCCTTTAATCCCAGGACTTGGGAGGCAGAGGCAGGCGACATCTGTAAGATCGAGGCCAGCCTGGTCTAGAGTCAGAACAGCCAGGGCTACACAGAGAAACCCTGTCTCAAAAAACCGAACGATGTTCCTAATGTAGCATCCTTACTCTGTGACAGACTTCTCAAAACCTACTGACTTTGACCCCAGGGACACAGTGACTAGTAATAGTCCATTTGGAACACTCTTTAATACAACTGGCAAGGCAGCCGCCCCGCCGCCGCCAAGAATCATCTGATGCCAAAGGCCACCAAAGCCAAGGCTGGACATCAGCCTGCAGCGTCCACTGCCACAACTCTAAGCTGTCACCAAGGTGACGTTTGCTGAGAACTAAACTGAGAGCAGCGGCTGCCCCTCATGACCTGCTGAAAGAGACTGCATGCTGGCCCTGCACTAAATCATGAACCAGCGGTCCTCGTGAAGATCCACTGGTGTGTTATTTATTCCCAATCTGCAAAGATGAAGAGGTAAAGTTGTCCCCACGTCGCCATTTCCCGGTCGGCAGCTGGGGTACAGCACGGGTACAGCAGAAGCAGCGAGAGCGCCCTGACTGCCCCACCTGGGCCAGAAGCCAGCGCCCTCACAGGACACGGGAGGGGCGGCAAGGAGGGGCGCTCCTGGGTGTGAAGGTCCTGCAATCCTCGGTGCTTCCTTACGTTAGAACAGTCAGGGAAGCAGTAAAGGGCCTAGTGTTGATTGCTGAACCGAAATGAAGACGTCCGCAGAGGGAAGCAGAACCAGCAAAGGATGAAAGAGGCAAAGCAACCAGCGTTCCGTTTATAAGCGATCTTTGAGACCCCCAGTTGGTCCTGTCTTGGCCCAGCAGGACGCTGGAGAAAGGTGAAGGTGATTTGTTCAAGGCCACCAAGCCTACCTGTGAAAACAACAGTGCCGCAAAATAAAAACCACCAGAGCATTCTCCAGAACGACAGGAAGAATCTAGCTCGGATTTACAGAGGACTCCCGGGTTCCCTATTCTCTCTTTGAAAATATATACATATTTCCTTCCATCACCCAATGTCATTGCCACACCTACCAAGAAAACCTCACCTGTCCAATACCCGCTTTATCAACCTTCCTTCCTTCCTTCCTGAAAAGGGACTTGTTAGAGTGGGCGTGTTAAATCGGAATCCAAGCGGGAGAACACTCGCACCCCTCTCTAAGGTGTCCCACCTAGTGGTCTCCCCTCCCCCAACAGGCTGCTGCACACAGAAACCAGGTTAGGGCTTCAGAAAACACCCCGTGAGCCTCCTTACTTCCTCATGTCGTAATCTAGCTGGTCCTTTCATCCCCTGTATTTTTGGCAAATGGAGGTAGCTTTAGCACTCAGGTCTCTTTTTTCCTGATGAGAGCGCTGCCTAGGGGGCTGCATGTGCTTCCTATCCGAGACATCAAGAGGCACATGGCTGCCTCGTCCCACTTCTCGCCTTGCCACACTTGATCAGAGGGCTCAGAGGCACCAGAACTAAGACCCGAGTCCGCCTTTCAACTAAGGCTCCGTCTGCTCATGACCAGTCTCCCAATCAATTTTCATGATGTGTTGTAAGTGGCGACTTTCCAATTTTCTAAACTTTCTGCTAGTCCAAACACATTTATTAGCCAGACCCTGTCCCTCGCCACTGAGCCTAATTGGTTTCTGTGAACTATAATTTGTACAAGAAAAGCAGGACAGCTCTATTTTTTTTTCTCTCCAATTTTTAGAACAAGAAGCTGGTGCCCTCGTTACGTCCTATAGAGCCTGCTTCCAACAAAATTTAACAGACAGCAGCAGCAAAATACACTTTCATAGGACATTTTAACGAAAGAGAGAAAGGCACTCTGTGCAACCCAACTAAATTATAAACCGGCTGGTGAGAACTTCACGTTAGGACAGTGAGATCAAGCGCAGAACCCTGGAGAGTCACGGGACCCGAAAGTCTGCTCAAACCTTTACTCCTGATGAAGCAAAGGCCTGTCCAGAGCCCAAGGACCTGCAAGAGGACACAGGAGCTACCTGTTCTCCAGAAGCGACTCAGAGGCAAATGTCAAATGAAGAGCATCTCTTTCTGCAGGCTCGGGGCAGGGCTCTGTGCACACTTGGTAAACACGCTGCAGATTCCCAGTTCCCCGACCTTTAAAAGCTACATTCACAGTCAGAATCGTCTGTGAGCGCCACAAAGTGCCGCAAAGGTGGCTGTGATTAAAACAACAACAAAAATAAATAAGATGAAAAGCCAGAAGCCATAAATTGTAATATGATGACCTCACAGCAGTTGGTACAGTGGCGGCGCCAGCGTGAATGTGGACAGCTCAGACAGAGGAGCGAAGGGCCCAGGGAAGCCAGTGAGTTACCAGTGGAGACGGCGCCGGACCTGGCAGATGGACCGAGGAGAGTGGCTGAGAAGCACGGACCTGCTCACACGCCAGGGCAGCCGGGTGGGCACACTCGGAGGCCTGGTTTGTTCAAATGTTCGTTTCTAAACGCGCCTTTAAAATGTAGTTCTTACGTAAAGTAGGCTGGGCAGGACGGTCCTTGGCCGACAAGCTAACTCCTGGGAAGATCACTTTTATTGAGGCCAGCCTGGGACTCTCTCTCTCTCTCTCTCTCTCTCTCTCACACACACACACACACACACACACATACACACACACACACACGCATGCACACCAACACGCTTCCACGGTAAACGTCTTCATGACAATAGGGGGCAGGCTGAGGGCAACTGCACTGAAAAGCTGCTGGCCTGCTCTGACACGTTCCGGAGCCCGCCGCCCTCTCTTTAGCTAAGGCTAGCTCCCTGAGAGATTTAACCCAGCCGCGAGGGTCGCTGCGGCAGGAAGGGAGCCGGGACACTCTAACCGACGACGGCCAGTAATCCTGCTCTGCTCTGAGGCCTGCCCTGGCTGCCCACGCACCTGCCACCTGCCCCCTGGCTGCCCACGCACCCCCCACTGTTAACGCACGACCACTCTGTCCCCAGCTTGTTTTCCAGGAAGCCTGACTTGCGGGAACAAACGGATTTAACTCAGCGACGGGGCCATTCCCTCTTTCCCATTTCTCCTGTCCCCCTGCCACGTTCTTGCTGCGGACAGAAAAGCAGGGGGCGCTGCAGGGTCCCCTCGCTCCCGCCCACCGGCGCCATCCACGCGGGGACGCCTCCTCCCGGGGCCTGCGCAGGCAGCCGGCGGCACCAGGGCAGAGGCATGGGCCCTGCTGGCCTCCTGGCCCCGCTGCTGCTTACGCTGGGTGAGCGCTGGGCCAGAGCCTCGAGGGGAGAAAGCAGAGGGGTCCCGAACGGTAACGGACGGTGTCCGTCGTCACATCAGCTGAGACGCGGCGCCGCGGCCAGGGAAAGCGGTGAACCAACCGCAGGCCTCCTCTTCGCGGGACTCGCCATCAGTGCACGCACTGAAAACGTGAACTACGGCGCGTATGAACGGGCAGTAGACGTCACGAACAGGAAAGGGCACCTGAAATCGGGGTAACCCCAACACTGAGGAGAGCGGAGGACATACTCGTTCCAGTCACACCGGGCCACCCTTGGGGGAGTTCTAGGCACACCTAGCCCAACAGAACAGGTTGGCCTGCAACGGCCTCTCCGACAAGGAATCCTTTGGGCGGATAGGTGAAGGAGGGGTGACGGCTCGGCAGTGGCGCATTGGGCGATCACGCTCCAGCCCCAACAGCACAAGGGGTGGCCCTGGTGCTGCTCCAGGGGTTCACCTGGCGGGGGCCAGGAGAAACTGAGGAAGCACACACGGACACACAGAAAAGCTGGGGTTGGGTGAGCTGGGCTCTGATGGAGACGCGATAGCACCCCAGAAGCTCCGCGTGTTCGCTATATACAGCTGAGCAAGAGGATGGGGATCTTACACACAGACCAGCAGAGGCCGGGTGGACGGCCTCAGCTGGAGTCAGGCTTAGCTAATCTCTGTGAGAGCTGTCTTTGTTGGGGAGCAGCCTGCAGGCCACAAACTCTGGTGGGCGAAAGCCAGTGGACATTTTCTGCTCCTAATGTCGGCGTGAACCAGAGGCTTTGCCAGCCCTTGGAGCCTCACCCTGAGAGGTGAGCCTTTGCTCACCTTAGCCTTTGCCATTTTCCCACAGGTCTGAGCCTGGAGTCCTTGGCATGGCTGTGCCCATGTCAACTGTATTGGTGGACTCGGGACTGCATTCACTCGGGGTTTTCTCTGCTCCCTACGGGAGGAAGGCACCCCAGGCCCAGGAAAACCGCATTTTAGGCAGAGGAAACTGGCATGCTTCTGGCATGATAAATAACTTGTTTAGTTACTTCTCTGGCCCACGGTGGATTATAGGAAGGGAATGCTGTCAGCAGCAAAGAGCAAAGAAGTAGCAAAAAAGATAAAAATTGCAAAATGACAATTCACTTAGAGCAAACAGCATAAAGAATAAACAGCCTGTTTATTCAAAAGCATCTCAGGGTATCACTGTTACAAGGAAACACACCTGACGTTCTGAGGAGGTGAAAGGTGAACTTCAGTTTCTAATGGCCGCTATGCCATTATCCAGAGCCTCGCTCACTTCAGCTATTGGTAAATTTCGGCCTTACCATCTGTCTGGAAACCTTTCTGTTCAGCGAGCTTGAATATAAGACGTGTTACTACATATTAATGACACTGTGTGCTTTCCGTAGGGTCTTACCACTGCTCTTTTGCCAAAAAGGAAGATTTGCAGTCAGGTGAGTAGCGTCCACCCTGGATTAGGATTGCTGGATCTGAAAATTGGGAGGCTGGAGGCATGGCTCAGTGGTTAAGATCACTGCCTGTTCTTCCAGAGGTCCTGAGTTCAATTCCCAGCACCTACACGGTGGCTCACAAATGTCTATAACCATAGTCTCATGGGATTCGATGTGCTCTTCCGGTGTGCAGACAGACACGCAGACAAAGCGTTCATATACACAGAGTATATGAACACACACAGCAATGAGCCAGGGCTGACATCCTGGAAAGGGCTGCGATGGGAGTTCGGGGACAGGAGGTTCCATCTGCACCCCTCTTCTTTGCCCAGTGTGTGGACGCCCTGTATACCCTGGCCGCATCCTGGGCGGCCACAGTGCTGCTGCAGGCCGCTGGCCGTGGCAGGTCAGCCTGCGGTTTGACCAGGCCCACACCTGTGGAGGCTCCCTCCTCAGCGAGCGCTGGGTGCTGACGGCAGCACACTGCATAAAAAGGTGAGTTGCAGGGCTGGAGAGATGGCGCAGAGGTTAAGAGACTCTTCCAGAAGTCCTGGGTGCAATTCCCAGCACCCACATGGTGGCTCACAACTTCTACAGTGAGATCTGGTGCCCTCTTCGAGTGTACATGCAGGCAGAACATTGTATACACAATAAATCAGTTTTTTAAAAAGTGAGTTGTAGGTGGGAGCTGACACACAGAGGCTTCTCCAGAAATGTTTGCATGGCATCATGGGAGCCAAGAGATCAGTACCAGCCAGATCTGTGGGGCTACAGGGAACCCACATCCTCTTGGAGTGAATGCAACCAGAGGTCAGGGTGCAGACAGCTCATGTCTGAAATGCCAGCCAGGGTTTGTCTTGAGCTTTCGGTGCTCACAAACCCAGGCTGAGCTTTCCCAGAACCGCTCTGTGGTGAGGACTCTAAGGCAGCATAGTGGGCTAGAAGCAGACTCCAGCCCTGAGCCACTGCAGCTCATGATGGGGGCTCCTGGGCACCAGCAAAGTCAACCTGACCCTGACCCCAAGAATCTCAGACACAAGTATCTTTTTTTCTTTTACACCACAACATTGTAGCAACTAACTGTGAAACAACAGATAATTATTATGCACAGAAGTCAAAATGACAGGCTTTTCTGTTCACCACAGAAACTCAGGAAAATGGTGTATGACTTCAAAATGCTGAGGGAGGGTGTCTTTTTGGCCCAGAACTGTCTATTTTGCCCATATACAAACTATGAGTCAATAGGATACAAGCACAGACTTTGACAGATACACAGAGCCACAAGTATGCTCACCCATGTGTGGGGGCACGGAGGAAAACACGGATCTAGACAAGATGATGGGCATCTGTTTAACACACGAGAATTCTCAAGAAAATCGATCATCCAATATTCTCCAGAAATACTAAAAGGTTAGTCCAAGATGGAGTCGACCAGAACAAGAGGGCAGAGGGCCCAAAGGGGTGTGAGTGTGTGTGTGTGTGTGTGTAGGGGGTGGGTGACAGGCACCCAACAGGCCTGGATGTACTGAGGGCTGTTTCTAGCAGAGTTTCTGTTTCTAGCAGGGACAGTGACAGGCTTAGGAAGGGCATACAAAAACTAAGAAACAGAACGAGGCTACATTCTTAACTTCAGGAAGAGCAAAGGGCTTTCTGAGAAATGCAGTCACAAGGTCCAATCTCAGCTATAGCGCAGGAAGTTTACACAGTGATAAGAAAACATTGAGCTGACAAAGTGCCAGCCACGGCGCCGGGAAGAGGAGCGCGGGCCAAGCAGGAGGCCTGTCCCAGTTGTCTTCTGTGATGAAGACCACGGCTCCATCAACCCAGTGAGGACAGGGTTAGTCCGCTCCCAGCTGTCACCGTGCAGTGAAACAGGACAGGGGCGAGGCCACGGAGGAGCCTGCCCACCGGCTCGCCCCCTGCAGCTCGCTCGACCTGCCTCTTAACCCCCCACCCCAGCCCTGCCGGGGCCAGTGCACTCCACGTGGGCTGGGCCCTGCCACACCAATCCTCAACTGAGGAAGTGCCACAGGGGTGCCCACAGACCAGCGCCAGGGAGGTGTTTTCTCAGCTGATGCTCCTCTTCCCAGGTATTCAGCCGCGTCAAGCTGACAAAAAACTTACTAGGACAAGGCTGGACAATGTGTAAGAAAGCTCGGTGATCACCTTCTAATTACAAACTCAAGATCCAAAAACAGTGTGTGTGTGTCTGTGTGTGTGTGTCTGTCTGTCTGTCTGTGGGGTGGGGCGGGGGTATCAAGAAAGCAATATATGCTGTTTCTTAAAAATAATAGGGAAATCATTAAGGGCTAAAAGAGCTGAGAGTGACCGACTGCTTTCTCTCTCTCCCACACACACGCCCATAGAGACGGAAGGCTAAATGAGAGCAGCAGCAGTATGGAGGCACTCTGGCCACCAGCATGCAAGGGGAGAACACAGGAAGAGAGGCCAGGGCAGGGCACAGGAGCGAGAAGAGAAGAGACAGGAGCTCAGCTCAGCTGGAGCTTAGCTGGTGGGACGGTCCTACTCAGGACGGGCTGGAGAAAGGCAGAGTGTCCTGGTCTGCTGAGGGCCAGCACGTCACTTTACCCTTTCTCTCATCTCCTCTTAGGACTTGGCTCACATTTTTATACAGTGTGTGGCTTGGATCTGTTGACATAGACCACTCGAGTACAGGCAAGGAATCCTATGTGTCCAGAATCGTCATCCTTCCCAGACACGACGGCTTGGACGGAGACCTCGCCCTGCTGAGGCTGTCTTCCCCGGTCACCTTCACAGCCGCCATCTTGCCCATCTGCCTGCCCAATGTCTCAGCTCAGCTCACGGTCCCAGCGTCTTGCTGGGTGACTGGGTGGGGAGAAAAGGAGGAAGGTACAGCAAAGAGGGCACAGACAGGGTCTCTCGTGGCCCAGGCAGGCCCTGAACTTGCTCGTAGCCAAGGCTAGCCTGGACCTCATGCCCCTCTTATCTCACTCTCCTGGAATTACAGTGTACGCTACCACACCTGGCTCTAGCTAAGGTTTTTCTTTCTTTTTTTAAGATTTATTTGTTTATTTTATGTATGAGTGCTCTATTTACATGTACACCTGCATGCCAGGAGGGGGCATCAGATTTCAGTATAGATGGCCGTGAGCCACCGTGTGGGTGCTGGGAAATGAACTCAGGCCCTCTGGAAGAGCAGACAGTGCTCTTATCTGCTGAGCCCTCTCTCCAGCTCCTAGCTAAGGTTTTTCAACTAGATCAAATCCATCTCTAAGTCTTCAAATAAAATATCTTTGGACATTTACATGCTCATTTACTCCTGTGTCTTGCCTACAGTCTGGTTTTAACCGAGAGAAAAAGACCAACTATTTAAACACATGATAATCTTGACTTAATATTTGGAAAGTCACTTTGTTTTGGTGTGTGTACGTTAATGTGTTTACAAAATGTTATGTCAACATTTTCCAGAATGAAGTAGAGATATGACAGGAATTTATCTGGAAGCAGAAAAAACGAGAAGGAGAACAATTTTAGAATAATTTAGAACACCTACATTTTTACTTAATCAAAAGTTATCTGGATATTCTTTATTTAGAATGCTGGCAAACGTGCAAATCCTCAAGCACAAACAATGCCCATGTATTAGTTTTTTAAAATTTAACCACCTCGGAAGATCTTTCCATAGCAGGTACAGCTGGAAGGTGGCCGACTCCAGCTGTTGCCCTGGTCACGTCCCAGGCTGTTCAGTCTTTCTCTCCTGTCTTCCTCTGCAGGTCATTACCCCTCCACCCTCCAGGAAGCTGAAGTTCCCCTCATCACCAGCGAGGCATGCGAACAACTGTACAATCCGATCGGCTCCTTCCTGCCACAGCTGGAGCCGATTATCAAGGAAGACATGCTGTGTGCCGGCGACACTCGGGGGATGAAGAACAGCTGCAAGGTTAGCACTTGCTCTTGAGGCCTTTCCACGTGCCTGCCTGCCCTCCCTCCTTCCTTCCCGCTTTCCTTCCTGCCTGCCTGCCCTCCCTCCTTCCTTCCCGCTTGCCTTCCTGCCTGCCTGCCCTCCCTCCTTCCTTCCCGTCTTCCCTCCCTCCTTCCTTCCTGCTTTCCTTCCTTCCTGCCTGCCCTCCCTCCTTCCTTCCCGCTTTCCTTCCTGTCTTCCCTCCCTCCTTCCTTCCTGCTTGCCTGCCCTCCCTCCTTCCTTCCTTTTTTCCTTCCTTCCTGCCTGCCTGCCTGCCTTCTTTCCTGCCTTCCAGATCTCAAGGTGGATCTAGGTTGTTTTATCTGTAAATAAATTACAAACCAAGAAATGATGGATCTGACAATAATTCTCGAGGTATGCTGGACAGATCAACTGACCTATATCAATACTTAAATTTACTTCTTTTATTTTTAAGATTATAATTACATTACTTCCCCTTTCATTTCCTCCCTCCAACCCTCCAATGTCCTGATCCCTGACCTCAAATTCCTATCTAGATTCCCAAATACATACACAATCTGCTCCATCTGTATAATGTCACTTGTAGGCTTGTTTCCAGGCTGAGCGCTTGGTATCAGGTAGCCAGCTGGTGCGCTCTTCCCTGGGGAAGGCCGTTTCTCCCCTTTCGGTGTCCCTTCCTGGTCTGCAGTTCCTCGTGCAGGCCTGAGGCCTGGTGGTCTTTCCGCGCCCCCTTTGGCTGGTCTGTGGTGGAGACTCCCTGGGGACAGATTCTGACAGCTGAGCCGGGCTCCCAGTGAACCCCCAACCTGCTGGCTCGACCATCTTTCAGGCTCTCTTCCACAAGGCCCCCTGAGCCTTAGCTGTGGGGGCTGCACTGTAGACCTACCCCTTGGCATTAGGTTGTGATTTCCGTAATGCTGACCGGCGCCAGTTTAACTCCTTCAAACAAAAGACTTTTGCTATGAACCAGTGGCTCTCAACCGCCCTAATGCTGCGACCCTTTAATGCAGCTCCTCATGTTTGCTGACCCAACCATAAAATTATTTTAATTGCTACTTTGTAACTGTAATTTTGTTACTGTTATGAATTATAATGTTAATATCTGATATGTGGGCGCCGTGAAAGGTCATCCAATCCCCAAAGGGGTCATGACCCACAGAGTGAGAACCACTGATTAGGCCAATGAAGTGTGACCTGTTCTTACATTTTTAAAACCTATAATTTTTCATAAATATACTGACATAAGCACACAATTGCCCACTTTTAATTTTTCTTAAGACTATTTCATCATATACTTTTCAAATGTCATCTGGAATTCCCTGATCAACTGTCAGTCATCAGGGTTTGGGAGTGTTACTCACTGGTCCAGACCTACCTTCCATCCGTGAAGCCTTGGGTTTGGTTCCCAGCGCCACAAAAAGAAACCACCAACCCAGCGACTGACTTTTCCCTCATTCCACATGGTATAGGTTGCGATGCTGTGCTTGAATCCAGGCTCTGCTCCTCCCCCTCTCTCCTGCCCAGCATTTCTCCGTTCATGTCCTAACTGCTGTGGTGGCTGTGAGCTCTGTCCTCTCATCTCCTGCCAGGAGACTGTGGGTTTCTATTCAAGTTCTGGCGACCAGATATGCTAGGATAGGTCTATTTCAGAGAAACCCCCTTAAAGACAAAGTGTTATTCTTTTTCTTCTGAGGATCAACTCCAGTTTCTGTCTGCTCTTGTTGAGGTGGCTTCCTCGAGGTGGCTTTAACAGGTCACCTGTAGCCCAGCTGCTCTGAGAGCTGCAGCAAAGAATACAATATACCCTGGGTGCACACGGAACATCCCCCTGCACATGAACAGACCTTACCCACGGCTGCAAGCTAAGCCGGAGCATAGTCAGAGGACTGAAGTCATAAACAAAGCAGGATAAACGAACAGAATAAAGTTAGAGATGGATAACAGAAAAATACGAAGCGCTCAGATCTGGGGAAGTTATCAATATATTCTTAAATAACCAATGAGCCAAAAAGAAGGAAACAGTTTGATAGAAATGAAGTAAAGACACCTTACGGGTGGCGCTCAAGCAGGGGCCAGAGAGAAACCATCGTAAATGTCAGCCCTATGAGCAAGGATGTCTCAGTGAAGAAACTAATCTCTGTATTAAGACCCTGGGCAAGGAGGCCGGTGTGCAGGGTAGTCACACGGACCTGCCCAGTCTGTGCAAGGCCCTGGTTAGTATGATCACTGAAGGGGGGGAGGAAGGGAGAAAGGCAGCCACAAGAGGGCACGAGGGAGGGGCGCAGGGAGCACACTAGACCTGGAAAAATAACAACAGGAAGAAGGATTTTATTTCCTTTACCGAGAATAGAAAGACAATAAAAAAGTCAACAAAGGCAAAAGTTTGTTTTAAAATAAAACTGAAAAAAAGCTAGACTGTGAAATTAATACGCTGATATTAAAACTCATATGAAAATCAAATGGCCATAAACAGTCTTGAAAAAGGAGAAGAGAGCTGGAAGACTCAAACTTTCTGATTGCAAAGCTTCCTACAAAGGACAGTAATGCAAACAGCGCGGATAAGCCTGCCAAGTGAGCTGCGGACAGCCTCCATCTTCCAGTACAAAGAAAGAAGCCGACAGGCAAGCTCCTCATGGCTGTCATGATAACACAAAGCCAGTAAACCTGCGGAAAGGGCAAGGCCAGCGATTACATTAAGTCTCATTTTGGAGTGAGAAACTTAAAAAGAAACATCACATTAATTGTACTTTGCTTTTTCATGGTGTATCAGATGAACATTTAGAAATGGCTCATGTATTTTTCTAAGGTCCTTGCCATTTCTTTCCTTCTTTCTTTCTTTTTCTCTTTCTTTCTTTCTTTCTTTCTTTCTTTCTTTCTTTCTCTCTCTCTCTCTCTCTCTCTCTCTCTTTCCTTTTTTTGGTTTTTCAAGACAGGGTTTCTCTACGTAGCCTCGGCTGTCCTGGATTTGTAGAGCAGGCTGGCTGTGAACTCCCAGCGATCCACCTGCCTCTGCCTCCTGAGTGCTGGAATTACAGGCATGTGCCACCGTGCCCAGCTCCTGCCAATTTCAAACGCTATGATTCCAGAACTCCTGCGAGCTCTCCCTGAAGCAGTGGGAAGCCGCACAGCTCAGGGTCCAGCCCTGGTTCTGAAGAACTCTCCATCACCGAGGATGGAGTCCCCTCACCTCCCAGGCCTTCTCACTGCTGAGCTCAGATCTTTCTGTCTCCCTTAGGGCGATTCTGGAGGGCCTCTGTCATGTCACATTGATGGTATCTGGACCCAGATAGGTGTGGTAAGCTGGGGATTGTCGTGTGGTGAAAATCTTCCTGGAGTCTACACCAATGTGAGCTACTACCAAGAATGGATCCGTGCCATCATCTCCAGTGCTGGGGGCCGGCGCCGCGGCTGCAGTTCCGTGACCTCCCGTGCCTGGCTGTGCTACCTTCTCTGGTTCTCCTGGGCCTCCTGACTCTTGGTCTAACATGATACCAAGACCATACAAGAGCTGCTGCTGCTGCTGGGAACCAGTGGGGACGGGGTGTGGAGAGTAAGGCCTTGGCAGAGAGCACTGAGAGGCCCTGGCTTTCTGAGCTTTGTTCCCAAGGTTCTTCATGTTGTATGTTTCAGTGGTTGGAACGCAGTCAGCTAATAAATAAATAAGGCTACCCCTTCTGTGTGTGATACAGTTTTTTCTGTCCCAGAATAATATATCTTATGAGGGAGAAAGGGTGCTTTGTACGAATAAATATTTGTGAATGTGAGTTAAATTAAAAAAAAAAAATCAAGATGGTGGGTGAATCCTCAAGGAACTCCCTA